GATCGCGAAAATGACGATCGGGGCTTTTTTGCGGAAAAGCGCATCTACATTGGCATGGACACTTTTCCGGAAAAAGTGCTTTTCCGGAAAAGCATCCTGCCAATGTAGACGCGCTTTTTCCAGAAATACTTATAACGGAAAACTGTTCCGTTTTAAGCATTTCCGGAAAAGGGTGCCAGTGTAGACGTAGCCTTGGTGAACTGTCTAGCTCTTTGCTGAGATGCAACACCTCCACCCAAGCCAGGGTGTTTCAGGAGGCCTTTCTTGATGCTTCTCTCCATTAGGCTTGAGTTAAACCCACTGTCCAACACTTCAAGCCAGCAATTGGTTTGATGACTCCAAATGTAACACCGACAGGCAGAACCCAAGCTGGGACCTCTGGAGCTTCGTGCATGAGCCTCTACAGGTTGAGCTAAAAGCCAGCTGCCTCTCAGTTAAGGATGCAGAGGAAACTCGATCCAGCTTTCTGTAAGTGGTCTAAGAACATAAGAACAGTCATATTGGGTCAGACCAAAGGTCCATCTAGCCCAGTATCCTGTCTGCTAATAGTGGTCAATACCAGATGCCCCAGAGGGAGTGAACAGAACAGAGAATCATCGCGTGATCCCTCCCCTGTCACCCATTCCCAGCCTCTGACAAACAGAGGCTAGGGACACCTTTCCTACCCATCCTGGCTAACAGCCATTGCTGGACCTAACCTCCATGAATTTATCTCGTTCTTTTTTGAACCCTGTTAAAGTCCTGGTCTTCACAACATCCTCTGGCAGGGAGTTCCACAAGTTGACTGTGCGCTTCATGAAGAAAACACGCCACTACGTGGGACAGCACACCACACTCAGCAGGTGCGTGAGTTACATACTTTCCCTAGTTGAGAAAACACATTCAGAGCTTCAGAGACACCCCATTTGGAACCCCGGAAGAAAAAGCTCCAGGTCAGAAGCACAAAGGGAGGGACAAAGCCCTGGGCTGGGAGTGGTAAGGCAAATATGCAAATTAGTGATGCACCCGCAGGCAAAACAGGTGTGATCAGGGAGACACAGGCAGACACAATCGGCTTTTGAGTAGGCGCAGTTGGTCCCAATAAGAGGGTCAGGTAGGGCCAGAGCTTTCTCCAGGCTTATCTGAAGCAAGGCCGTATGGGTTTTCTGTCCCCGTAATAGCAAGAATCTTTTCAAAGTTTACCTGTGGGCGGACCGAAACCCCCCTGGGCATGGCCACCGTCCTGGTATAAATGTGGGCTGACTCCACTGATGTCTGAGAAGTACCTCTGAAACTCTCAGGCGGTTACATGATAGTGACAGTCGTTGAGGCTGGTGTAAATGAAGCTAATCAAGTCAGGGGAGATGTGTTTCATTCACAGCGGTTAATGTGGAGATGTGAATATCCAGAGAGGGGAAATTGCCTTTGTAGTGCGTTAACTGGTCACACCTCCTCACAAAATGCTGTGACTTGATTAGTTTCATTTACACAAGCAAGGTCTTCCTTATAGACACCCCGGCTTCTGTAACGTCCCCTCCGATACATCTGATGAAGTGGGTCTTATCCCCGAAAGCGTATGCCCTAATGGAGCTGATCATCTCTAAGGGTGCCTCTACACAGCTGCGTTATTTCGTAATAACGTCCCTTATTCCAAAATAACTATGTGAGCATTTACACAGCTAGCCCGTTATTTCGAAATAATTTCAAAATAGCGGGCAGCTTATTTTGGTGTTCGTTTGTAAACCTCATTCCACGAGGAATAACAACTCTTCCAAAATTGCTATTTCAGATTAGCATTAGTGTGGACGTGCCACTGCTGCTATTTCGAAATCGCTCCTCCCCCAGGCCATTCAAAGTAATTACTCCCCTGTGCTTTCTGGGGCTCTAAATCGAGGTAGTGCATCCACATTAGGGGTGTGTCTAAACTACATGCCTCCATCGACGGAGGCATGTAGATTAGATAGATCGGCAGAGGGAAATGAAACCGCGATTAAAATAATCGCGGCTTCATTTAAATTTAAATGGCTGCCCCGCTCTGCCGATCAGCTGTTTGTCGGCAGATCGGGGCAGTGTGGACGCGCCACGTCGACAAAGAAGCCTTTCTTGATCAGCACAGGTAAGCCTCGTGAAACCAGGTTTACCTGTGCCGATCAAGAAAGGCTTCTTTGTCG